ATCTTCTATCATGGGTGCGCTTCGTGGTAATATTCGCTGTCTGCCAAAATCAGTGAGATATATTATATACAACTCCATGCTAAAACCTCATCTAGACTAACTAATAGAGGTGTGGGGTACTGCGGCTAAAACAAATCTAAAGCAAATTTAAACATGTCAAAACAAAATAATCAAACTACTATTCCATTATCACTATCTAACTCCCACCGAAAAAATTTACAAAGAAACTCAATTAATGACACTATCACAGATTTATAAATATAATACATGCATATTAGTACATAAATTATTAAATAAAGATATACATAATGATTTCTTATATTTACGCGAACATTGCACATGATTAAAACTACTTTTACGGATTTTATCGCGTTTATTTTTACTTTTTATTTTTATTTTTAATTCCCGACGTTTCGGGCGCTTTCCAGCACCCATGGTCACGGGGGACTGAGATGACTGACGTCCCGATGTCATTGTTAAACCCGGAGTACCTTCAGCTTTTTTAATTATTGTTTATGGTCCGATCTATGCAAAATGAACTGACTATGTCCTGAGGTCTTGCAGTGGTATGTTTGGGTTTAGTTTTAATTTTATTGATTATAGGATCCCAAGCAGGTGGTAGTACCCAGCCTCCTTCTCTATTGAAATTAGGAGGTTTTTTTAATTTCAGTAGCCTCACGTATCATCCTTGGTAGGAATCGGTGTTCTTTCGCGAGGATTTGTGGTCTATCAAATCTGATGTAATGGTTGGGGCCGTCTAGGATATGATCGCAAACTGCAGACTTCCCGGAACGTTGATGCTTCACATCAGCTATATGTTCTTTTACGCGGGTCCTAATTGATCTTTTGGTTTGTCCTATATAAGAGAGACCACATTCACAATCAAGCTTGTACACTCCTGCATCTTGTAGAGGAATATGACACTTGACGGATGGTAGGCTTCGGGTCCCGCGCCTACGTCACAGTGACCGAGTGAAGCCGGCCACAGTCGAGCGTGTGCCTGCTGTACTACCATATGTCAGAGGTGTCACAGACAAGATTGGCTATATCTTGAAGCGAGCTTCTATTAGAACATTCTACAAGCCGCCGAAGAAGATTAGTCAGTTCCTACCATCCGTCAAGTGTCATATTCCTCTACAAGATGCAGGAGTGTACAAGCTTGATTGTGAATGTGGTCTCTCTTATATAGGACAAACCAAAAGATCAATTAGGACCCGCGTAAAAGAACATATAGCTGATGTGAAGCATCAACGTTCCGGGAAGTCTGCAGTTTGCGATCATATCCTAGACGGCCCCAACCATTACATCAGATTTGATAGACCACAAATCCTCGCGAAAGAACACCGATTCCTACCAAGGATGATACGTGAGGCTATTGAAATTAAAAAACATCCTAATTTCAATAGAGAAGGAGGCTGGGTACTACCACCTGCTTGGGATCCTATAATCAATAAAATTAAAACTAAACCCAAACATACCACTGCAAGACCTCAGGACATAGTCAGTTCATTTTGCATAGATCGGACCATAAACAATAATTAAAAAAAGCTGAAGGTACTCCGGGTTTAACAATGACATCGGGACGTCAGTCATCTCAGTCCCCCCGTGACCATGGGTGCTGGAAAGCGCCCGAAACGTCGGGAATTAAATAAAAATAAAAAGTAAAAATAAACGCGATAAAATCCGTAAAAGTAGTTTTAATCATGTAAAGATATACACTCTAAAATAACGTTTACAAAGAAAGGACTAATACAAAAACGTATTACTAGACGACAAAATAACATTTGCCTAAGACAACCTCGAACTAACTACGGAAGAAATAATATATTATACGAAGGAGCAGAGTTATATAATAAATTGCCTAATAACATAAAAGAGATCCAGTCCTTTATTTTATACAAAAAAAACATTAAAGCACCACATCTTAAAAGATTTTTCTCGATTTTAAATAACATTAACTTATTCAAAAAGCTAATGTTATTTCTTTAATTAATTTGATTTTACCAATTATTTAAAATATAAACATTGACATAAAAATACCATCTAAATTGCTAGCAAATATGAACTATGTGTAATTGCTATAGACTTTCTTTCAATAACGATATGTAATTGTACACGTACTTTTCTTGTTACCCACAAGCAACAAGATTGTGCGTATCCACTACTTAACAGAGCATTTACAAGTACCTGCCGTTCTTCATAAGTTTATTTATTTAGTATCTAATTATTAACTTGTTATTTCTCATGATAAGTGAATTGTATTCTTTTTGAGAAATAAATGTCTTAAGCCGTATGCAGTGTAGTTTAGATATGTATTTTGTGTGTTGTAAAACTCTTCACAATATGGCATTCACATCACTTTGCGACGTTCTTATGATATTTTGATAACAGTTTAACCCAGCGGACAGTTGATGTCGATAATATGTCAAAGCCTCTACGCTAATAAAATAACCTGTGATTTATACCATCACGCTTTACACTTATTACGTCGTTTCCACTAATCGTTCACATTCACCTACGTTTTATACACAAAACGCAAGCTATGGTGGATATGATTTGAATTTCGATAGATTTTAATTAATTAATTTATTTAATTCAAAATTTTTGTTTTTATTTTTTGTAAGATATCAGTGCCATGGGCTTCTACTTCGTTCACATGTTACACCCTATTTTTTTACATACTAATACAAAGAAAACCGAGAGTATACTCCTAAGGAGTTATCCCGAAATTATACATTCTTATACTCGTACTAAAAAGGAATTATACTTGAATACTTGGTGGCTGTTAACATACCGTTACAGTTACAGCTGCAGCTTATCAAAGTCCAGCCGAACGTAGGCCTCCCTCGTAGCGTGCTTCCCTCTGTCGCCTATTAAGCCTCATTTACATTCAGCCCCTGCCACTACTCCTCGCGCTGCCGGCAATACTTCGCTAAATACTGCCGTAGCAGGATCGCGGGAAGTGTGTATTTACACTCTGCCCTACCACTCACATCACTTTCGGCTTTCGACTATGGCAGACGTCGAAATAATTACAACGTCCGTGCTGTGTCTTCTTGCAATACAAAATTATGTTAATAATTTAAAAAAGATATCAAGTTCAAAAGAAGATAGATAAGATAGATCGAAAATTTATTTGCTTAAAAACATGGTACATAAGATGATCAATGACGTGGAACTGACATGTTTTGCCATAATTGGCATGCAAAAATGATATGAAATACAGCTAATTATTAATTAACAAACCCAATGTTATATTTTAAAATTATTGCATTGCTTAAAAGTTAGGTACAAACATTCTTTTTGAATTCAAATATTATGTACTATTAAATACTTATACAGATTCACTCTATTTGAATTCTTATACAGTAAATTGTTCATAAATTATTAATTTAATTATTACATTATTGTTACATAAATAATATTAAATATTATATGAGATACGTTAAGCTATTATTATTTTAATAATTACACTACAGTATAAATTAATTCATAATTTTAATTACAATAAAATTATAATTTAATAATCTCAGGATTTTATGCAAATATTACCATTTAACTTAAACTCGGTCGGTGTATACATATGATTTAATGTATTACATTCAGCCCTGTTGGGCAGGGAAGTGAGCAAGGCAGTGGGCAGGGCAGTGAGCAAGCAGGGCAGTGAGCAGGGCAGTGAGCAGGGAAGTGAGCAGGGAAGTGAGCAGGGCAGTGAGCAGGGAAGTGAGCAGGGCAGTGAGCAGGGCAGTATGTAAACAGGCTACTCGCGCTGACACTGCCGCTGCCGCTGCCACTGCCCGACGATCTCTCAAATGTCGGTTTTTCGTGCGGAAGTCAAAGGACGGGCAGCACGAGCGGTAGAGAGTGTTCACATTCTGCTCCATCGCTCACCTCGCTCCAAGCGCCTGGATGAACGGACGTGCGTGCCGTCTTGTTATTAAATAAATACGATCTGCCAAAATGAATAATAAAAATACAATAAAGTTTTTAGAACTGCTGGAATCAGAAAAAATTATATGGGCTTTCAACGACGAAAACCATAATTCATCATCTTCAACGGAAACGAATTTTTTTTTTTTTGAGATAACATAATACCTATGTACATAATTAATTACAAATTCGTCAAACTTATTATATTAATATGAAATTTAGTTTACGGAATAATGAACATTGACATTTTATTTCTAAATACAATTAGTAAGTCATATTGATTATTTATTTATTAAAATGTAAAATAATGTATTAAGTTAAATGGTAATATTTGTATAATATGCCTGAGAATTGTAAATTATAATTTTATTGTAATTAAAATTATGAATTAATTTATACTGTAGTTTAATTATTAAAATAATAATAGCTTAACTAATCTCATATAATATTAAATATTATTTATGTAACAATAATGTAATAGTTTATGAACAATGTATTGTATAAGAATTCAAATAGAGGGGATCTGTATAAGTACTTAATTGTACATAATATTTGAATTCAAAAAGAATGTTTGTAGGTACCTAACTTTTAAGCAATGAAATAATTTTAAAATATGACATTGGGTTTATGAAATTAGCTCTATTTCATATCATTTTTGCATGCCAATTATGGCAAAACATGTCGGTTCCAAATCATTGATCATCTTATGCACCATGTTTTTAAGCAAATAAATTTTCGATCTATCTGTCTATCATCTTTTGAATTTGATATTTTTTTGAATTATTAACACAATTTTGTATTACAAGAAGACGCAGCGCGGACGCTGTAATTATTTCGACGTCTGCCATAGTCGAAAGTCGAAAGTGATGTGAGTGGTAGAGCAGAATGTAAATACACACTTCCCGCGATCCTGCTACGGCAGTATTTGGCGAAGTATTGCTGCAGCGCGAGGAGTAGTGGCAGGGGCTGAATGTAAATGAGGCTTAAATGAGGCATTACGACGCATAATAAAAATAAATATACATACTTTAGTAATCAGTAGTGCTTTATGAAGCGGCATTGGTTATCAGGCTAGTGAGGCAGACGAGCGATTTCGCGGGACACATGCTGCAGGTACTGTTGGGCAACACGCTGCTGTACATGGCGGCGTACCTGGTGCTGAAGCTCGTGCAGGGCGAGCGGCTGCGCTGGTACGCGTGGTGCTGGCTGGCGGGCGCGACGGCCGCCTGGCTGCCTGCGATCTACTTCTTCCTGGCAGGCTCCGCCGATTGGGCTGACTCGCCTGCGCGCTCGCGCCTCCACAATCACCGCTGCAAGGTACCACATCTCTACATACCTTGCTACTTGCCTTATCATACTTCGTACCGGAGTAAAGCAGTGCACGCACTATCTTTCGACGGTACAAAGCGATAACATGGTGGTAACCCTTAGGTTTCTTTTTATAGAATGGGAGTGACAAACGATCACACAGTCCGACTGATGGTAAGTGGATACTATGGCCCATAGACCTCTATATTTATTCTCGATTGTGAATCAAAATAGCGATGCGTTGTTAGCTCTGAGAACTTATTTGATTCCCTACACTCATTGTACGAAACACGGCAGCATTAAGCTGCTATTTCACGTTGGAATCTATGAGAGCGTGGTCCTGCCGCAGTCGAGTCGAGCCACTCGTGCTACAACTATAATAATGCTGCAGCTTGGCTCTACCACATAAAAGTATAGCATACTTCGCCACCTGCCTTATCATCTAGCTCCATCACTCGTCCAAACGAGACATAGCAGTGCACACACTAATGCTGGGTTGCAGAAATAAGTAAGCGAGTGTTACCTACTCAGATTGACTCCTAAGTTGAGATATATTTTAAATCTGAGTAAGTTAAAAAAAAAAACAAGATTCATTACATAAACACCCACGCCTGTCACCAGAGGAGTCAAGCATAGGTATATCGACGTAAATGAGGCGTGACAGGTGTGTCAGGATCGTGCCAAATGGAAACAAAATTCATTATACAAATTCCAAATACGGTACATGTACGTAATAAAAATATTGTAATAACCACTAAAGGATGGAAGCCTGGCGTCCTGAAATACAGGTGTAAAGCCTCCCTTAACCACTACTCTCCCACAATATAAGATTCAGGCGTAATACTTCAACAAAGTGTACAATAGTTATGTAATATTGTGGTAAGAAAATAAATCATTATTATTTTTGTGGGGTGTATATACAATAATCTCACCGGTTATTTTGTATTAACATATAAGACAAAATGATAAATATAAATCAATACACATTAAATATAGTAAAATTAATAAACAAATAATGCATAATTATAAAAACACGACCAGATGGACTCTTTTTATAAATATTATATATATAATATTAAATATATTATTAGAAAAATATGACTACTACATCAACAATATTAAAAGAGATCCTGAAGCCACACATAAAAAAATGTACAATCCGATCAAATTATCTCAGGACCTGGCGTCGATTACGTCACGTCGCGTCGGCGCTCTGATAAGGTGCACAAAACAAGCATCCTCATATTATTATAAACGATAAGATTTCCAACAAAACAAATATTGTGTTAATTAATTTAATGTAGGTAATATTATTATAATGATATGATTAAAATGATGAAAAATAAATGAAACAATCTTGGTTAAGTGGGTGCAAGAAGTGTTTATTACACAAAACTACAGACTAAAAATCTTCTTCAGAATATATGATTGGCTCGATGCCAGTCATTGTCTCATTATCGCTATCGATGATCTCACTGTCCGAACTCTCTTCGCCTAGGGATGTAATTGTTTCACGAAAATTTTCTTCTTCAAGGTGGTCTTTCTCCCAATACTCCTGTTGTAATCTTTCAACGTGATTTACTTCTTTTTTCCAGTCTGAAGGTGTGATGGAATTAATCGCATCTCTTGTTAATTTTTCACGTCATTTAAGTCAGTACTATTTTGCTAACATTTATTAACGGTGTAGTGTGAGTGAATCCATGTTTCGTCTAGAAACGTAACCGGTTTTTTATCTGCGCCAAGGTCATTGTTTTCTTTCATCCGGCGCAGGTGGCGAGCCCTCCACCCGGCAATATCTGGCTTTTGTATTAAGATTGTACGGGCATTTTTACATTTTTTGAATTTATATCCCAAATGGTCAATTAAAATTTTTCTAAGGTAACTTCTTTCACCTTTAAAATCCCAAAATGCCAAAATTTTCTTTAATGTTGGGATTTCTTCTCTTACAGTATAAAATTTGTTAATAATATTACGTATGGCACAGATGTCAAAATCATCAATTTCGATAATTTTTTTGTACGTCTTGCGCTTTTTACCTGGTGTTTACAATTTTTCTTCACGTGTATCGTTGCTAGAATCTTGACTAGTACTCGTACTCTGTGTAGCATGTTGCAGTGACGCATGCCGCAATTCTTTGGCCTCCTTTTTTATTCTCATCAAAGTACATTTTGATATTCCTGTTGCAGCACAGGTTTGATTAACAACTTGATCTACAGGTATTACGAATTGCTTGTTAGCTTTCTCTGATTCAAAGAAAGCGAGAACTTTCAGGATTAAATTTCTTTCTTCACTGTGAATAGGTTTTCCCATATTTGAAAAAACTTTCATTGTCCCACTTCAAAGCAACGAAATAGTAACAAAAATGTTCAAACTAAACCAAAATGTCCAAACTTAACAAAAATGTCCAACGTTGCAACAAAAACAATATTTTAACGTAACAGCAATACAAAATAACAATAAAAGTACAAACGTAACAATGAAATGTTTAAAAATATACCACGAAAACAAGTCGACGCGTATCGGCAACGAAAATGCTAACCGTACTGACGCACCGTGGCGAGCGCGGGGAGGTGAAAGGAGAACGGGGCGGGAGGTTCGCATTCCAGCGAGGTCTCGAAATAATGTGACCGGGTTGTAAGGTTAGAAATTAATCCAGAACTACTGCATCATGTTTTAATGATCCTAATTTAATCAATACCACCTTTTTAAATGTTTCCGGAGTTAATCAAATACTTACTTCTAACACGTCTTTCTTTAAATCTCATGTAAAAGTTTCAAGTAAATTTAAGTTAAGAAAATTTACATTTTAAAAATAGCACGGTGACTTAAATCAAATGCGGTAGCTATAAAAGGCATATCTCTTAATATATTCAAAATGACAATTCGCAACTCAATATCTGTTATAACAAATATATAGAAACTAATACATATCCCAATGAATGGCAATAGTCAGACCTATTCCTAAAAACGCAAATCCAACGAACATGATGGACATACGCCCGATCAGCATATTGCCATGTGTGTCAAATATTTAGAGAAAATTAAGCCGAGTATCGAAGGAAGTATTTGAAAACAAATGCAATACTTCCTAATTAATAGAATCTGGCGGTGGGTCGTTGTCGAATTTTTGACGGACGAAACGCAACCGCAACAAAACGGTTGCAGAAAATAATCGTCGTTGCAACGTTTGAATTTTGAAGACGACTTAAAGGACGAAACTTTCCTGTTGATGTTCGTGTGTGAGAATGTTAGCAATGGAGCGGGTTATGCTGGCGGGATGTTAACTGGAGAACATACAGTAGCAGTTATATGAGCAATAAATAACACTTCTTCACAGTTTCTTCTTATTTATTTTCATGATGCTTTATTCTTACATTGCCGGATTTGGAATGTTTTACCACAAAAAACGCCTCTTTTTATAGGCAGCTGTGACCAATCAGAATTAATAAAATTTGCACGGCATGAATTGCACACGGCACTAATGATTCCCGTCGACCAATCAGAGCTCAGAACGACCTTTTCTAAAGCAAATTTACAAATTTCTTTAATATGTGTGGTAAAACATACCTTACAATGTTTTTACACATTCCTGGCAGTAGAGATAACTTATCTTTATTATTTCGAACATTAAACATATCAATATATAATCATAAAACTCTTAATTTACGTTTGTAAAAAATAAAAATAGTGGCGCGGTCTTCCTACGGTATAGCTCCGTAGTAGCTAAGCTTTTTCCGCTTAACATACAAGTAGCGCCGCCAGGCGGCAGGAATGCACAATGCTTATCATGATAATATTATGTTCAAGAATCTATACAGAATACATTTTAACTTCTTATTAAATTAAAATCTATTTTATAATAAGAAATTAGATTACAAATCGAAATATTGACATATTGTCGTTTTAAATTATATTAAAAGAAAAAGAATTAAACAAATCATTAAATTTACACTTAAATGTTAATATTTCTAATACAGCTCTTTAAATTATAATAAGAGAAAGTTCTAATAAGTAACTAGACTTATATCTCGTTTCTAACATTCTAATTAAACCTAAATAAGCAATTAGATTCACATTTTTGTTACAGACTTTTGTTACTAACTTTCGTTACGTAATTTTAAAATAAGAATTGAAGCTAATATAAGTAGTTAATTCACTTTCTTGTTATTAACACTATCAGTCTTTACACTTAGTTTTATATCACAAATAAGAATAAATTGAAATTAAATAATTAAATTCACTTGTCGTCGCTAACATTCTCCCCCACGGTGCGTAGCACTTCATCTTCCGGAGGCGATGATTCTGCTGGTACCAGCACGATGACACGTTGAGTTGGGCGGCGAAGTATTCCTCCTGATGTCCGCACGTCCAGCACTCTGGTTCTTCCGTCTGGTCAGGGATAGGTCTTGATAACTTCTCCGCGAGGCCATGAGTTTCGTGGTAGCGTAGCGTCCACTATCAGCACAATGTCTCCTTCTCTTGGGTCTTTGGTTTCTCTCTTTTCGAGTTTTCTTGGCATCAGGAGAGGTAAATATTCTTTGATCCATCTTTTCCAGAAATGGTCTGCGAGTCTTTGAGTGGTCCTCCAATTTGCCTTTCCGATCAGCTCCGTGTCACTGAATTCTCCCGGCGCCATCGCTCCGCATGGTCTTCCCAGCAGAAAGTAGTTCGGTGTTAGGCTTTCTTCGTCTTCTGGGTCCATGCTGATCGGGGTGAGGGGTCTCGAATTGACGATGTGTTCAACCTCAGTCATTAGTGTATGTAGTACTTCTTCGGGTGGGCTTCTCTCGTTGAGGACTACTGCTAGCGCCGTCTTGACTGTTCGTACAAGTCTCTCCCAGGAATCTCCCATATTCGGAGCTCCCGGGGGGATAAACTTCCAGTTGATACCTTTTTCTTGTGCGACCTCTTCTAGTTCCCTTTTGGCTACGACGAAGTTGGTTCCGTTGTCGCTGAATATAGTTTTCGGGGTCCCTCTTCTGGCTGCCATTCGTCGGAGAGCCATGATC